GCCCCATTTTCTCAGAGTGGATCACCATTAGGTTATACTTACTCTGGAACTCCCACCTTCTGCCCCATTAAGATCCCCCCATAACCATAACAACAATTGCTTTAAAATTAAAAGTTTAAGTTTTTTTTTAATTACGTTCTGACAAGGTATCCAGTTCTTTTTCATTTTCTTGATTTTTGTATTATGCATAGCAAATAAAGGCAAAAAAAAATCCCCTAACTTTATATTGTCTGTCTCCGTTTGTCCGTGACATTGGTGAGGAAGGGGAAGGGATGCTGAGGATCAAATATACTATGAGTAATTTGGGGCTGAGAGTGGTCCGAAAAGCAAAAGGTTCTTGAATGAACCTAACTAGCCTTCAGGCACATTGGCCTGATTAAAGGGATGACCCCCAAGTAGGTGTTTGTATGGGAAAGCTATCGAAGATCAGGAAGTTGCCATGGGTGTAAATATCTGAGAGCAAATAAAGAGAACAATGAAAATGGGGGAGTACAGTTAGGGGTGGGTAGAGAGGCAAGATGATCATTGGTGCTTGGCCTCCTGCCCAGCCCAGGGACTAGGTACAAGCCACTGGAACAAGACATTTGCAGAAGCCAGATGTGACACTGAGTGAAGAAAGGGGTGGAGGGTGGGGATAGATCAGAAATTTACTCTGGCTGTGTGTTATATTCTAAGACACACAGGGTTCAGGACAAAGCTTCAGTCGGGAGCTCACAGGTCATATGCTAAAATAGTTGTAGTGTTGGCATCAACTCAGAAACAATCCCATGAGACTGGTTGTATGTCCTTCCAAGAGAGTTGTATCTTCACAACCATCTGCAAGGCTAGGTTGGGACTTAGGGATTCTTTAGTTCTTTTAAAAATAATTTGAACTAGACTTAACATATCACACAATTCAATAGTTTCATCTTATTAAGAAGGATTGTGCTACCGTCACCACAATCAACTATGGAACTTTTAATTCCCTCTTGTATCCATTGAGGTTCACTTCTTACTTCCCCCACCACCCCACTTCTGTGCCCCAATGAGGGAACTGCTCCTCCTTCCTCCCTAACCCCATCCCCACTGTTTCCCATTGACCCAGATATACCTAGTCCAGTTGCTGCCCCCAAGGTCAGACGCTGAGAAGAACATGAAGGCCCTAGAAACAGGCTTGGGGCTGTTCAGGGGGCTCCTGGGGAATGGCCTACAGGGGACATAGCCCTTGTTCCCATGGTCTGGGCTTCTGGCTCTGAGAAGGAGTGTGGCTGAGAGAGGGCCAAAGTGGAGTTTCTAAAGTGTAAGCCAATAGGTTCCTACGTTTATCGAACCCCCTTTGCAGAAAAAAAGTACTCAGTGTCCTCCTTCCAATTAAACATTTTTTTTACTATAGTCAATAATCCTGGATAAAGTGTACGTTATCTGTTTTTGCAACCCACCCAGAATATCCCAGACCCCCCTAGGAGGTGGTATCACCCCCTTTGGGAACACTGTACCCTCCCCTGCATCTCAAAGCAATACTCCTCATATCTTAACAATTAGTACAGCATAAACATGAACAAACCAGAGCCAGGTTGAGGCCCTTCAATAACATTGATGGATAAATGTCTATTTCTCCTGCCTTTTCAGTTTAAGGAAAAGTGATACGGGTTCCGGGCCTTCTGTTTCATGATGTGGCTCTAGCCAGAAGGTATAAAAATACATTTTTAAAATCATTAACACTGGTGACCATTAACAAAGGGGGGTGACGGCTGCAGAAGCATTCATTTTCATTCACTTGAACAGATAATAACAGAACACCTACTAAATAGAAAATTTAAGTGTGAGAGTTTGGGGAAAGAAAGGTAAATAAAATGTTTAAAGGTTCCAATCATTCAGAAGATCACCAATACAGAAAATGACATGGTGAGGGAAGTGTATACACACACACACACACACACACACACACACACACACACACAGAAACAAGCTCACTGCCATCAAGTCAGTTCTGACTCATAGTGGCCCCACAGGGCAGAGTAGAACTGCTCTTGTGGGTTTCTGAAACTAAATCTTTACTTGATTAGAAAACCTATTTCTCCTGTAGAGTGACTAGTAGATTCAAACTGCTGACCTTGATATTAGCAGCCCAACGCATAACCCACTACACCAAGAGGGATCCACTAACACATATGCATATTCATATACAAGTATATAAATATATATATGCAAGGGGGCACCCAAAATAAAATGGATTAAGAAATCATTTTATTGGGAGCTCTTACAGCTCTTATAACAATGCATACATCAATTGTATCAAACACATATGTACATATGTTGCCTTCACTTTCAAAACATTTTCTTTCTACCTGAGCCCTTGGTATCAACTCCTCTTTTTGTCTCCCTCCCCCACCCACCCCCACTGGTAAACCCTTGATAAATTATTATTATATTCATACCTTACACCATCCTCTGTCTCCCTTCACCCACGTTTCTGTTGTCATCGCCCTGGGAGGGGGGTATACATCAATCATTGCGATTGGTTCCCCCTTTCTCCCTCTTCTCCCCTCACCTTCCCCTTACCCTCATAGTATCACTACTCCCCTTATTGTTCCTGAGGGCTTTATCTGTCCTGGATTCTGTGTCAAGAGCTCTTATCTATGCCTCTATACATGCTCTAGTTCAGCGGGATTTGTAAGGTAGAGTTGGGGTCATGATAGTGGGGGAGGAAGCATTAAAGAACTAGAAGAATGTTGTGCATTTCATCGGTGCTATACAGCACCCTGGCTGACTCATTTCATTCTTGTAACCCTTCTGTGAGGGGATATCCGATTGTCTACAGAAGGGCTTGCGATCTCCACTCCTGCACCCCTTGTTCACATTGATATGATTGTTTTTGGTCATCTGATGCCTGATACCTGATCCTGTCGACACCCTGTGATCACACAGGCTGGTGTGCTTCTTCCATGTGGGCTTTGTTGCTTCTGAGCTAGTTTACCTTCAAGCCTTTAAGATCCCAGATGCTCTATCTTGTAATAGTCAGGCTCCATCAGGTATCTTCACCACATTTGCTTAAGCACCCACTTTGTCTTCAGTGATCATGTCAGGAAGGTGAGCATCACAGAATTCTGGGTTATTAGAACAAAGTGTTCTTACATTGAGGGAGTACTTGAGTAGAGGCCCAATGTCCGTCTGCTACCTTAACAGTTAACATATAAATATATATGTACTTAGACCTATATGTCTATCATTATATAGAAACATATTTAAATATGTACGTGCCTATATTTATACTTATACTTTCTATTTATACTTTTATAAATGTCTCATAGGCCTTGACTGTCCACAGAGAGTGGGAAGAAGCACAAAAAGAGGACAATGGGGGACCAGGGCACTAATCCACCCAGGGGAAGTGTGTTGTTTATGACTCTACAGGAAAGGGAGAAAGAGAGTAGAACCCATTCCAGTGTGCCAATCCTTGAGGATGATATCCCTGCTTAAAGTAGGTTTTTCCATGAGAAGACTACAGGGCTGGTCTCAGTTCGAGACATGAAATACCCCTCTGGAATGCAGTGCTACAAAGGGCAACACTGAAGGTCTAGTTTGGGGAGAGTGGCCGGTCCGACCCACCCACATGGGGGAAATCAAGGGGGAGTGTGACAGACCAGCAATGGGAACAAAGCCACAAAATCCCCGAGGAATCTCGATTACAGACTTCTGACTTGGTGGGGATGGAAGGGCTATTTCTTGGTACCTCATCTGATCTGTTTGGGCTGGGAAGGGGGCCACATTGAAATTCTAAAGGTATAACGGGGTGGGTGGGGGCACTAGACTGCTCCAGTCCTGACTGCAAGAAGAGCAATGGGGACTTGTAGGAGGAACACCTTTTGGTCACGAATGCTGAAGACTGAAAGGTTATAAGTGCTGTTAGGTTAAGCAGATTCCAGGATATGGAATCCTGAATGGGGATTGGCCTGATGGAGTATAATGGGTCCTGCTCACTACTGAACAGCTCACTACTGAACCCAGCTATTCTCAGTCAGGATATCAGACTTGGAGCTATTAATATGGTTTATTTCCTTGGAGAGCCAGCATTTCCTTTTATGAGTTTTTGGGCTGTCATAACCCAGTCTTTGCCCTCTGGGTCTCAGCCCCCTGTGAGTTCCAGTTAGCGCCCCAGTCCAGCCTTGACAGTCTTATTTCTACTGAACAGGCCCAAGCCAGAGAATGAGGGCTGGCCCTACTTTAAGTGAGTCTCAGCTCCTTGCCCTGTTGTTCTAAACTGATTCTCAAACTTTAACGCAACAGAAGTCCCTGAAACCTGATGCCGGGCAGTAAGTTCTGACCCATGGTGACCCCTAAGGGGACAGACAAGAGCTGCCCCATAGGGGTTCTGAGGCTGAGATCTTCATGGAAGTAAACTGCCACACCTTTCTCCCTCAGAAGGACTAGTGAGTTCTAACTCTCAGCTTTTCAGTGAGCAGCCTGTCACTTACCCGCAATGTCAACGGGCTTTTTGAGGGCCCTCCATGTTGGGCTGCTAACCTCAAAGCGGTGGTTTCGAACCTACCAGGCACTCCATGGGATCCTGGTGAGGCTTTCTTCCTCCTGTAAGGTTTGCAGTCCGGGAGACCCACAGCAGCAGTTCTACTCTGTTCTATAGGGTTATTACACATAACAGCCAACTCCATGGCAGTGAGTTTGGGGATTTCTAGAAGGGAATTTGTTGAGAGCAGCAAGATGGCGACCAGGAAGACAGCTCACACTGGGAGTTCCATGGAGATGGGTGAGTGGGGCAAGTTGGGGGCCAAGTAGGGCCTCTGAGGCTGTTGGTTCACTCCCGCAACAGGCCAGAAAGTTTCCCCAAACCAGGGGCTGACTTCCACCCCATCTACTGAGCCTGCTCCGGAGTCTAATGCAGGCACAAATCTGGCCC